GATTCGTATATCGATCATGCCGGTCATACCGATGACGTCACGCCGGTTTTATGACCGGTACCGGTTGAACCAGGTACAACCGGTGGCACGCCGGCCGACGTGACAACCATGGTTAGAAGCCACGTAATTCTTCAGTTTTTGCCCACTCATTTTACATAACCGGCTCAATTCTCTATGCTTACTTTTCTCATTGGTTTCCGTCTCCATAGGTGCACTCTCTCGAGAAGTAGAAATGATGAGAGTCCCTTTCTACTTGCCTTTTAGTTTTCTCTTTCTTCCATCTCTTCCCATCCAATCCGACATGCTCTCCTCCTTCCCCTATCACTTGCAGGTGGACTAAGAAAAACATTGTTGATACCTATATTTCTCACCCCCTGTTTCAGACTAGCAAACAAAGAGGATGCCCAGACGACAGAGATATTGGGGTTGGCCGTTTTTGCTACTTTCAGAAGGTTTATGAATTGACAATGTTGAGGATGTGGGAGAACAGGACAATGGCGAGCAACTCAGTGAGCAACACGTCTTTTAGATCTCCTAGTGACGAAAACCTGTTGTTCGGAGGCACCTTCTGGCGATTGCCAAAGTTACATCTTCTAATCTCTGTGTTTCAACAGCAACCACTGTGTCAGAAAACCAGCAAATCTGAGCAGAGAAGGTGAAATAACTTCCTCTATAAATGTTTTGTGTATAATATTTGACTCAATTGCTTTCCCCTGATCACCAGTTTTCTCGACTCTTCCATTTTTGTAGGCTCAAGTTGCAGTTGGAACAATCATGATGATAGTGGCCAAGGGATTCAGGTACAGATAGGGAGAGGTGACCAATTCCCATACCTATGCGGCTTGGAATTCCGGCGATCAGTTTCTCTTCTCCATTATTCTGACCCAGATCTCCGGGTTCAGGTGATCATCCGATATTATGTGCTTTTTTTTCTCTTATCTTTGATGATTGATTGTGAATCCATTCTCTTTCACCTTCATCTTGCAGATCTGCACGATTATCGTGTGTGATGGCCTCTCCGGCAGAGACGGAGGTTATTCTCACTTCTTGATGGTTCTGTTTATCTATTTCCTCTCCCCCCGCCCTGTTATTTAAACCAGTTTTCTCTTCTCTGATCCATGGCTTTTGTTTGATGCCTTAGAGGATGATCCTGCGTTTTGTAGTAGACAATCACTCTTAACTTTGTAGCGATTGAGGAGGTAAGCGCAGCTACAGATCTCATCCTCCAATATGCATTAATTGTACAGTTGTGTAAATTTGACAATTGGTTTTTTCCTCAGGTGCATTCTTGGATTATATAAAGTGCTTGTTGCGTGCAAATAAGCTTTGGGAAGCAACTCTTTTGGGTGAGATTTCATGCAATTTCTTTGGGAATGTTCTTTATCTATTTCGTTGATATAATGCCAAGTGTGCAGCGTCTCATTTATCAAATATATTTGTACTACTAGCTTATAACCCGGCCCGTTGGCCGGGTAGGTTAGTCAATAATTCTTCATTGGATCTCTATTACTCAGCAAGGATAATTAGTGATGACAATTTGAACCTACCATGTGGGTATTACCTTATCTGACCTGTAATAGGGCGGGTATTAGTCGACCCGCAGTAGAATGGGCAGGACATTGTATCAACTTCCAACCCACTTTGCTCTGCCCCGTCTCATTCTGCTCAACTTGTTAACGTATTGATATATATATTTCTCCTATGAGGCTGTTTAGGAATGTCGTTTTGGAATTAACTAAGTATTTCTGTTTTAATCCTTTGAGGCTTCCTTTCTTAAATTTCCATCACTTAGGAAGACAAATTAAACATAACCATTGTGAAAAATATAACTTCTAAGAAGATAATTTTCTAATATCCAAGCGTGATTACTCTTATCGATTATGCACTGCAATACAATTTTTGTTATTCAATTTGGTTGACTTTTTGGTTAATATTGACCCACAATTATTATATTATTGAAAAAGTATTATAACTCACCATATATTTCATTGGTGAGTGTAGCGTGTTCCTAAACGAAGCTTGCAAAGAACTGCTTGTTTAATGTGTGGCTGAGGTATATGGAAATATACTTGAATAGGAGTGTTGTGTGATTGGTTCTATATTCAATCTAGAGAGTTACTCGGTGCAGGCGAGAAAATAAGTGAAAATATGCTTATGTTTTATGTTTACACCAGCAGTGTGATTCTCCTAAAATATGTTACCAAAGAGATCAACAGTCAAGGGGTTTCTTGGATTGAAAGTAATGCAAATGCACCATACAACTGTTCAACTTAATTCTCATATATCTATATAGCAACAAAAGATGACAAAATAGATTAACCTGGAATAGAGCATCCGAGGAGGTACCCACGTTGCTCTCCAATTTCTTTATCTGTAGCAAATCCCTTTAAGATAAAGCCAGACATTGAACGATTGTATTCGGGTGATTAAATAAAGGTTCTATGAGGTTTGGATGGTGATATTCGGTGCAACATTAGTTAATCTAGATGCGATATAGGAATGAAAAGATGTTGGGAGTACGCTGCTAAAAAATTTCCTTGTCGATTGCATTGTTAAATCACTGTGTCGGTTTGGATGAAGTTTGTGATCACAAAGAAGTGTCAATAGGAGGTTTCATTATGCATTCAGTTCCATTAGTTGCTCATTGACTCTGGTTCTGAGTTTCCTCCCTGAAAATAATTTATCACAAATAGGTATAAATGGTAGATTTCATTATGCATTCATTTTCATCGGTAGGTTATAGAAAGAACAAACAAACTGAGATGTATATGCGAAGAGAGAAATAAACCTTATAGACAGGGGGAAAGCCACACTCCCCTAGCTTATTGGATTCAAAGAAGTTGTTTGTGTCAGAGTAGGAGAGCTGAGCTACGAATAGTAAAGCTTGCAATGAACCTTGCTGCGATGTGAAGTAAAAAATTGAAATATAGCTGATAATAACAACAAATAAAAGAGTGTGTTCAGAGGAGCGTGACCAGAAGAAAAGAGCACTCAAAATGCATCAAGCATATAATAAAACCAATACAATACGACACCAGAAGAGGCCTGGAGATTCCAACTACCAACTGCCTGCGAAGTAAGGAAGTAGCAAGCTTGGCGATTCCTTTCACAATTGAATATGCGAGCACTGTGATCCAGTTCAATGTTGACACAAAATGCACGACCCAATTCAGATTCAAAACCCAACCTGCGTATGAACTTCCTAGCAAACTCAAATTGGAAGTTAAAAACCCCTCAACTTGAGAATCAATCATTGTCATGGAGACCCACATCCAGGCAATAGAACTAACCTATGAGCCGACAATTTCGACACAAATCAAATTGGAAATGGAAAACCAACCCAAATTGTGCATCAATTGCTTTTTTTTGCCACAACCATGGGCAAATCAAAACGAACCTGATGCTATCTCCCTCGGGAAAGATTGTCTTCTCGACACCGAACAAACATCAGAATCGGACACCTTTTGGTTCCTCGCAAAGATTTACTTCTCAGCACTGAAATCGGAAGAAACATATGTAAGATGATAAAGTTCGGAGACAAATAAGCACAACTATGCTAAGAAACAGAACATTTACAAAGAATCTCAAACAATACGCATTCAACTCTAACCTGCATACTCCAAGTATTTTAAGCATATCTCGCTCTTTAGATTAGGCGTTTTCTTAGCATGATCTCACATTAGCAAGGTGTCATGCTTTCAGCATATACCCCACCATTCTTCAACACATGATACCAAACAGTTCCCACATAACAAACCACAGTTAAGAACATTTCATCAGGTATGTAATACAAGTTCTTCGCTAGATAAAACCCCAGTTCCAACATCAAGTTCCAAACTTTGGCAGCAGATTATATAGTGTAAGACCAATATATAACCTCTTTACCCAGCAACTCAAGAGGAATTGTAAGGATGAGTTCCTTTTAAACACATTTTGCCAATTGAACACTTTAGTGGGCGGTGGATCACTTGCTACCAAGTAAACCACTACACTTAGTCATCTAATATTGATTCAACAAAAGGAATCAGATCCAGGGCATGATCAGTGGATTCCAACTGGTGGGTGTAATTCAAAATTCAAACTCAAAACCGAATAGATCCTCTCCGATCAACAGAATTCAACTCCTAGTCAAACACCGAACTAAAACAAACACGTCTCCAGACCAGAACAGAGGACAACTAAACTCGAAATTCTTTACTGCAGTGACCCAGATCAAAAATAGGTACGTCGGAATTGGGAAATAAAGCAAGGGATCGATCAAGCGCCAAACCGAAATTGCAGAGCAAAAAAGGGTTTTTTTTTTTGCAGAGAGGAGCGGAGAAATAGAGAGATGGGTGGGAAAATGAAGTTACTTGGAGAGTGCGAGTGAGGAATTCGACGCCAATGGTGGACTTGGACCCCAAGTAGAACTCAGCTGCGAGTGAAGCGAGAGAGTAGGTTGGATTTGCCGACGCCGACGTGTATGGAGTCGACGACGGCAACCTTAACAATGGAGGAGAGGAAATAGCAGAATCGCACACAGTGTAGGGGCGAGTGGATGATGACGGTAAAAGAACTTGGAGTTTCTTCACGTCTCTGGAACGACTTTTCTTTTCCTGGGCTTAGACAATCAGTGGGCCCATTCAACGTATCCAAAGGAGCCCATTGCAATTTTCTGTTTCCAAAAGTACCCCTCCGTAAAACGCTCCCGAGGCAGCAATTTTGAAATGGGGTTCAGTTTTAGGCTTCAGCGGAGTAGATTCCATGGTGGTTTGTAATGAATAGTATCGTTTCTGGGTATCTTTTTATGACTCAGAGAGAAGACATGGTTATTGGCTGAAGCTCATCTTTGGGGTTTTGTTTCGATCTTCCACTACAAGGAAAATGACCTATACCAAGGGTTTGATAGCGATTAGCGAGGGTTACGAAACCGCTGCTAAGATTTTCGGAATTAATTGTACCGGAGTTTGTTCTAAGGGTTCGAAAACCCTTGCTACCCTTACTAAATATAGTCGCATACTCTTTCCTTAGTCATCCAAAAATCAACGAAGGAGATTCGATCTCCCTCCTCACTCGATCCGGCTGAAGAGGCGATTCCTCGGCCTTCCTCGCTCACTCCGGTTGGAGAGGCGAGTCCCCCGGTCTTCATCGCTCACTCCAGCTGAAGAGGCGGCTCCTCCAGTCTTCATCGGTCACTCCGGCTGTAGAGGCGATTCCCCGGCCTTCCTCGCCCACTCCGGCTGAGAGAGGCGATTCCCCGACCTTTCTCGCCCACTCCGGCTGAAAGGTGATACTCTGATTTTCTTTACTCGCTCACTCTCTCTTCTTCGCTAGCTCTCTGCTTCCCTCGCTGGCGCTCTCCCTCTCTTCCGCGAGTGAGCTCCGATTAGGTTTCTTAGGGTTTGTAGTGCGGTCGCCGCCGCCGGCTGCTTGCAGTAGTGAGGTTTTCGATGGCGAAGAGGAGGGATGTGATTGCGATTGATTTGCGGCGACGGTGTTGAGCAGAGGAGAGATGTCGGCGGCGGGAAGAGGAAGGAAGGAGAGTGGAGGTGGTGGTGGAGGAGACATAGGAATTGAAAGCGCCATTGCTTCAATTTCCGCTTTGTATGCAGTGGAATGGTTTACTTTTGCGGGGTGGGGACTAAGTGAGTGAGAAACTGATAGGGGAAGAAAGAGAGATATTTGCAGGAAGGAAAGGTGAGAATGAATGGGGTTGGGGATTGCTTTCTTACTAGTTTTGGATGATTACCAAAAGGTCAATAGATATGGGGTTTGGGATGGAGCAAATGGTGATGCTCTAGCTTTAGAGTTGGAGGAGATGGAGAATTCATTGGGAACAATGTCATTGAGCAATCCTCGTACAACTGCAACAAGTAATATGAATTGCAGGCTGCAACTCAGGACAGCGTTGATATTGATAATATGACGTACGAGGTAAAGCTTTTCTGCATGTTGTGTTTCCAACGGTATCAAATAAGGTCTGGAATGCATCACACCACAGAATAGTTAAATTGTGTTTATGGAATAGTTTAGCAGATTAGCTCAGCTGGCATTTTTTGTGTAGGAAATTAGTCAGTTACAAGAATCGATTGGCGAAGTCAGCAAAGGTCTGTCGAAGGAAGTAATGTCCAGGTTGCCAACTTATAAATACAAATATTTAAGGAGAGGAAGAAAGTTGAAAGATGATGACATAAGTATGACGTTCTTTCGTTTCTCGAACTGCTCCATAGTTGATATATAAAGATATAAAGTCTGTGACTTTATATGTGAACGACCATCAATCATAGACATAACTAGAGTCCTATTTTCTATATAATTAGAGTGCAGTTCGTTCATGTTGTTCAATATCTTGAATCATAGTGACTGCTAATTCCATTTCATTTGACGATTCGTACTGGTTAACATGTGGTTGGTGAAAATTTGGGATGCAGAGCCTTTACATGGGATGAATTCCAGTCCCCTCTTCTTCTTCCTGCCTTGCTCATTAGCTTTCTGTTTGGGAGTGCATACTCTATTGAAGCAAGCTTACTTTTGCATTAACCCTTTGCCTCATTATTATATGAACAAGGTTTAGTTGAAAGCTTAATCATTAAAGTTTGGTGTTACATATAGCTCCCGCTTATGAGATGGAAGAGGCATGCATTTCTGGTAGCTAGTTATATGTAAGTTGACCGCTGGTGCAATACTTTTCATTTTGTTACATTGCAGGACATACTTTTCACTGTCAAGTTGGGACAAAAAATTAAGGTTTTGGTAGAGAATCAATACAAGTAGCAATGTTTGATTATGGCAAAAAGTTTATCCTGGGAATTGTTGTTATACTGTCCGGCTACTGTCCTGCTTGGGAAGTTTGGGTACTGTCCTGCTTCAGACCCATCGAGGTGGCGCTTCTCAACCCCTTGAATCGTTCTTCCTGCCTTCGTCTTCTTCTCCTTCCTTCCTCGGTAAATCCCTTCCCCTGTCTCTCTTCCCTGCTTTTTTTCTACTCTATTTTTTCAACCCACAGATCTCTGTCAATGGTCACAGGACTGGGTGGTGATAGTCTCGGCTGCCAAATCTTGTTTTTCAAATTTGTTAATGCTTTGGTTAATGGCTTCGGGTTCTGTTTCTACTATGTTAGTTGATTAAGAAGACTGCGTCTTTCCATTTTTTGCCAACGCATGATCTTGATCCTGTGTGTTCCTGTGTTATTCCAGTTTATGGCAAACTCCACTTGCCTGAATGAAATCATTTTGGTCTTCCTTGTTGTGGCTCTGTGCATACTTTTTTTTTAATATAATCAACATACTTGTGCCTACTAAGTGTTAGATGATGATGCTTGAGATATTCCTCTCCTAGCACATGGAAACACTTCATAAGTGGTTAAACATAATCATTCTTGTGTGTATTGGGGGGAAATAGAGTCGATAAATTTTCATTTTCCTTCCAATGGAATAAGAATTCGTTGTTAATTCAGCGGAACTGTATTTTTAAGTGTCTTTAAAGTGATTTTCTAGTTTTATGCAAGTTTGGGTTGCAGAATATGGGGTTCATTGGAATCAACGAGCTCCGAGAAGAGCATGGTCTTATTTATAGGTTCCTTATCCTCTTTGAGGTTTCATAGTTGCAAAGTAATCAGACTTTTCAGTTTTATGTGCGATCCTCTCTTTATGACCAGAATGTTGAGCTGGTTGTTGTTATAAAATAGGTTCCATCAGTTCTACCAGAATGTTTGAATAGTGACCGGAATATCATATCTGTAACGAAAGTATTGTTGCTAATGAGGCACCTCTCTTTAGTGACGGTGCATTGTAAACAATGATGATTTTACAATCATATAATGACCATAATGATAGTATTTGTAACCAGTGTGTCGTTACTAATGAAGCACCTGTCTTTATAATAAAACTTTAGTGACGATTTTGGATGCGATACAAAACATTAATTGACCTTTTTTATATGAATAATATTTCAACCTTATAAAAAAAACATTAATTGACCTTTAGTGACGAAATAAGCAAGAGTTTTAATCCTTGCTATGAGAAACTTTTCATTTTAGCTACACACTGTGTTTAGAGACTCTCTTATCAAGGGTCAGTCTTATCAAGGGTTACAACCCATGCTATGAATATTTTTTTGTTGTATTTTACATTGACGTGTAGCAATGGTTTGAACCCTTGCTACAACCCCTGCATGGGACTTCCATCAAGGGTTGCTTAAAACCCTGCTACGTCTAGCAGGGGCAGTATTGCCAAGGGTTCGTGCAAGGGTTGGGTAAACCCTTGCTACAACTTGTAGCAGGTTCCTCTGGGTCTTTGTTAATAGACTTCCAATCGTTTGTGGTGACTCTACATGGAACCATTACAGAAGGGTGCAGATTGGTTTGTGATGCCACTTACAGGCTATAATTTGAAAGTTTAACTCTGTTCCTATGCTGAGTTGTCACAGATGCCTTTAAATAATTGAGCTTGATTTAGGACTTGCAGGACTTTGTAGTTGAGTAGTGTCTTGAATTACGTGGATCTGCATACCGACTATGTTCCTCATTCTCTATCAATTTGTGGGGTGATTAATTGTTTCGCCTACTTAACTAATTGTTCACTGGCCTCTGGAAGGTAAGCAATGTTTTTTTATATATGGAAATTTGTTGTTGTTCCATTACAGAAAGGTAAGCAATGTTTGTTCTGGATTTAGAGTTTTGTATGGCCCATTTTATAAAACGCGAAGAGAGGAAGAGATCATACCTGAATAATTTGTTCTACTAAAACAAACTTTGGTAGCTTTCATTGATCTTTTCATCACAGTTTCAGTATTCTGTCTCAATAATGGACAAGGTGGAGAGGATGGCATCGACGACTTACGGTTGCTGCTACTGTTTCTATGTTGTGGCTACCAATGGAATTAGTTAAGAATGCGGCATCCCTTCATGCCAAGAATAACTTCACAATATCTTTTCAATTTTCATTGATGTTTATTTATGTTTGTTTTGATTGCAATCAGTGTGCTGCAGCTCATCCAATTCTTTTAATGATTTTTTATCATCAGTTGTAACATATTTAGCTTACTCATTATAAAAAAAAAACATGTTTTTGCTTGCTATTGACATTTCTATTTTCATGTTGAATAATCAATAAGTACTTATTTAGAATTCCACATTCCGGCGCGGAGCGCGGGAAATGATAACTAGTATTATATATTCGTATAATAATGTTACATAGTCTTAAATAAATCGGCTCAACTGCGATAAAGGACCGGGCCGAGTTAATGCAGATCACCTTTTGATCCTGTAACTCATAAAAATATGAAATTCAGTCATACCAATATTTTAAACCTGTTTGTACACTATTAAAAAAAAAAATTAGGTATTGTAATGCGAGGTAAAAGTATACCACTAATAGAATGTACTTTTATCATCAAATTTTTTGGACATGTTTGTAAAAAACTTAGTTAGGTACCAAATTATAAGAAAAAAATTGAGTAACCTCCTACAGTAACTTTTGTATAATTTCAAGTGAGATCATTTACATAGATTTAAACCGTTAAAATCAATCAAACTTATTTTAAAATTAAAGAAATAGAAAATAAGGGGGAAAAATAAATGGCGAAAGGGGTTGCCGGTCACCACTTTCATAATTTACCTTTTGTTTTTTTTCTCTTTCTTTTTCACATTTAGTTGGTTTTCCTTATTTTAACCTTTCCTTTTTTTTTAATTCTTATTGGATTAAAAGCGTTACGTAAAACTTCCGTAATGACTTAGCCCTTTACGCAACACAACATTAATACTCATTACGTAAAGAGACCTTCCATTACGTAAGCCTTTCGTAATGACATTTTACAACTGTTACGTAAAATACACATTCATTAAGTAAAGGTTACGGAACGATAGTTATTTCTTACGTAATAGTTAAATCAGAAGCGTTACGTAAGATTTTCGTAATGACTTAGCACTTTACGTAATGCGAGGTTAATACTCATTACGTAAAAAGACCTTCCATTACGTAAAGGTTACGTCACGACAATTATTTCTTACGTAACAGTTAAATAAGTAGCGTTACGTAAGGCTTCCGTAATGACTTAATATTTTACGTAACGTGAGGTTAATACTCATTAGTAAAGACATTATCTATTACGTAAGGCTTCCGTAATGAACTCTTACAATTGTTACGTAAGAATACTATATGTTACGTAACCATTACGTAATGCCTATTGTATTTTATGTAATGCGACCTGTGAAACCTACTATAGCAGGTTAAAAATTTTAAGTTACCTTACTTCAAATTACCATAGGAAATCCCAAAAATTTAATACCAAAATGTGATTTAAAAAAATATTTTATTGATTTGAGCCGATCCACTTACCCAATATGCCTCAACCAAAAGGATGATCAGTCATACGGGATAAAAAAGAAACAGGAACGATACGAATCAATTATATAAGTCAACCATAACGGATTAATCACGATCAGGGTTGGATCAAGCCAATTTCCTGTGCAAACTTTAACTGGCCATAGTTTATCTAGGTAAATAAGGGGTCGTTTGGAAGTTAGGAGTTTAAATGAGTGATTTTGTGAATGTGTGTATTCTTTACAATCTATCGTTCTTTTGAAATAAACTTATCCAGAATGCATGCATTTGATCGGTACTTTAGAATCTCAAATGGCTAGAATCATTCATTTTAGAATCTCTACAAAAAGGTGATATTCTCTTGCTTTACTTTTGTAATTGCTTTTTTCACCTCTTATCCTTTTTATTTTATTTTTTATATTTCATATTTGCCCCTTATTTAATTGGCTATATAAAGAGAATTTCAAGGTTAAGTAAGTTTTTTTGGTCATTAAAGTGAGAATACTTATATTCTTTAAAAGTAAGAATCACAACTAACAAACAACATATTCTTACAATCATCTATTTCTTACAATCAATACACTTAGAATACATACATTCATAGACTCCCAACTTCTGGTGAATAAATAATACATGCATCCAAAGGGAGGGGCCGTGCATATCTGATATCTCGTCTCTCGAGCCTCGAGTCTCGACGTGCAAGTCTGGGCCAGTTAAAGAACCACTCGGCCCAAGAAGTGGCCTTCAGGCCTAGGATGAGATGAAAAGCCCAGGAGGCTGAACTGAGCGGGCTCGCTAAGGCTGAAGTCTGAATTCCAGCTGCGAAGAAGAAAGCATATGAGATGAGAGACGTGTTTCTGAACTCTGGTCCAGGGGAGGGGGAGACGTGTGTTTTGTTTTGTATGACAATAACTCAATAAAACAAAGATCAATAGTTCAATACCATATGGTGAATGGAGACTAAATGCCTCCCAACTCCTTCGAACATCTAGATTTAATCGTACGAAATTGCTGCAGTTTTTCATTTCCAACCTTCCTCACTCTATATGTCCTGGATTCGCCGGCGAGAAAAACTATGTAAGCTAGAGAAAAGGACAGCATCACAAATGTATGCCATTAAATGTAGACGCAGCTGGATTGTTATTAGTGCAAAAAAATTGGTGGAGAATGAAACAATAGTTTGGGAACACTTCAATAATATTGTTGGGGACCTTCTCATTTTTCCATTTCATGGTTGATATACTTGATAGAAATAGCTGGTCAGACTCAATTGACTCAAAAAAAAAAAAAAAAAAAAAGTCGGTCGTCCAGCAGTTGATTATGAAGTGTAGCTGGCTGGCTGGCTGGCTGGCTGGAATCGAACTGGATTTGGATATAAGCTAGGTCCATCATCACCATGTGTACGAGTTCTGTGGCTATCAACAAGTCAGTCTCAGTCTCTCTACGTAAACACACAACAACACACTAAATGGTTAAGGGGACCAGCTGACCGGTCCGGCCCGGACCAGTTGTATATTCATTGTAGCCCCAAAAAAAAATTTGGTAAAGGGACCACTGGCTTATTCATGGCTGATGGCACCGAATAAGAAACAAATCGTTCAAAGGTATCTATTCATGAGGTCCAGCATGATCAGATGTTTTAGAACACATAGCCCTAGCTAGACCGCCCCTCTAACTTAATTTCAAGGATTTGTAACAATCTAGTGATTTTATCTTCGGTTATGAGAGTTGTCGTTACATCTGTGACTCGTAAGACTGTAAACGTTGACCGAAAAATGTGTAAATGCGCGACCTAAGTGATGAGGAATTAAGAATTCCACCAAGACTAAATGTGGTCGCTCAGAGAAGATTGTTCGACATGGGAATGGTACCTCCAAATTTACTTGAGGGAGATGGGATGCAGTTGGGGCCGTTAGCTTGACCCTAGATACCCACTGATCCGGTCCAACCCCACCCTAAGAATCGTGTTGGGTTAGTTTATGGTCTGGTCACTTTTTGACCCTATACCACTAGTGATATGAAATTCAAACTCCACATACCAACACATTGTACATGTGTGTAAAGTTTAAAAAGTTTAGATACTACAACGCGGTAAATAAATATAAAGTTACTAAAACATAATTTTCCCACCCAAATTTTTGTATATATGCAAAAAAAAAAGTTTAGATACTAAGTTGTTAAAAAATAAGGGTAAATACAATATATTAGTCGTAGTATTAAGCAACGGGGAATTATAGCCACAACTATCGAAATACAAATTATTAGCCATAACTATTGTTGCGGGTCAAGATTTGGCTAACAGCCCGTTACTGTTTTCAAATTTTTAACGGACAAG